GGGAGCTTCAAAGACAGTGGACTGAAGCTGGAGTCCAGGTATCAAAAGTCACTGTTCACAGACGTGTCCGGGAAATGGGCTACAATAGCCGTATTCCCATGGTCAAGCCACTTCTGAACTCAAGACAACGGAAGAGGCGTCTGACTTGGGCTAAGGAAAAGAAGCACTGGACAGTTGCACAGTGGTCCAAAGTCCTCTTTTCAGACGAAAGCAAGTTTTGTATTTCATTTGGAAGTCAAGGCGCCAGAGTCTGGAGAAAGGCTGGAGAGGAGCAAAATCCAAGTTGCTTGAAATCCAGTGTGAAGTTCCCACAGTCAGCGATGGTTTGGGAGCCATGTCAGCTGCTGGTGTTGGTCCACTGTGTTTCATCAAGCCAGAGTAATGCAGCTGTGTACCAAGAGATTTAGAGCACTACATGCTTCCGTCTGCTGAAAAGCTCTATGGAGATGAGGAATTCATTTTCCAGCATGATCTGGCACCTGCCCACAGTGCCAAAACCACCAGTAACTGGTGTACTGACCATGGCATTACTGTCCTCGATTGGCCTGCAAATTCCCCTGACCTGAACCCCATAGAGAATATGTGGGGTATTGTGAAGAAGAAGCTGAAAGACACCAGACCCAACAATGCTAATGAGCTAAAGGCCGCTATTGAAGCATCCTGGGCATCCATAACACCTCAGTAATGCCACAGGCTGATTGCCTCCATGCCACGCCGCATTGATGCAGTAATCCGTGCAAAAGGATTCCCAACCAAGTACTGAGTGCATTAATGGACATTTTCAAATGTTTGATTGTGTTTTGCTGTTATAAATCTTTTTTTTTTACTTGGTCTGAGGAACTATTCTAATTTTTTGAGATAGGATTTTTGAGTTTTCTTAAGCTGTATGCCATAATCAGCAATATTAAAATAATAAAAGGCTTGCAATATTTCAGTTGATTTGTAATGAATCCAGAATGTATGACATTTTTGTTTTTTTAATTGCATTACAGAAAATAAAGAACTTTATCACAATATTCTAATTTTCTGAGACAGTCCTGTATGTTAACCTGGACGTTTGTTTCCTACCTCTCAGATCTTCTGACTGCTCTATGTTCCCATGTGGCGGCTAAAATGATACTAAAAAACAATGGCTTTGATAGAAAGAATACCAGAGTATTATGATCAAGTAAAAGTAAATAATCAACTTTTTTTTGTAATTATATAAATTGCATATAACATGGTAATTCACAGTATGTATCACTTAATACAGGATCTCAAAACAAGAATACATATTTTTTCAATTGATGGACGGATGGGTTTAAGCTGATTGTCAGTTATAAATAAAGACCTATGTCCTCAGTATCGCTGGCTAACCAGAAAAGAGCTCATACAATCCAACAGAAAATAACCAACAATGACTAAGTTATGCAACAAGCAACTTTAAGATAATTAAATCAAATGAGAAATCCTAAACCTAAGCATTAACAAGGGCGATAACAAAACCTGGACAGTGGATGCAGCCACACACACTGGCTGGGTGGTGCGATCATTTGAGTTCAATTGGTCAATGATGCTAGCATAGTTTGTATCCCATAATGATGTCATTCTTATTTTCTGAGTGATTATGGGGCTCCAGCATTTAGCTAAATTATATAATCCCTCAGGTCAAATACATCAAAACATTGATAAGACTAAATGTAGGATCAGACCTCCATCACTGCTTCAGAGTAACACACCTTTTCTCTTGTGCATTTGCCCATTGATTCTGATGAGGATGCAGGTGTAGCAGAAAGTCATGACAAGCAGAGGGAAGACATACAGCGTCACAAAGTGAAACATGTTGTATGCCGTCTTCTGCCACAGATACGGGAAGCTTCCATGGGTGACACACTGAGTGAAGTCCACTCCGTCGGCTTTAATGGCCCGAAAGATAAACAGCTGAGGATGAAGAGATTGTACAGAGATGAGGAATGAATTCATGCAGTCACAGAAAAACACATGTGCAGTTTGTTTTCATGAAACAAACGTTGTCTCTATTTGTTTGCATTAAACAAATGACACAAAGAACTTCATGATGCACGAGGGTCGTCATGATGCATGAGGTTCTTTGTCCCCGTGTTGCAGAGCTCCATTTATAGTTAGTCTTTCCAGAAGCAGGCGGGTTACAGAAGTTAAACCTGAGCTGTTAGAGGCAGCGCTGGGATCACAGTGTGGATGACAGAGACGTCACAGAAGGACACAAAGAGTTAGTAACCAGTTAAAGTAAGTCAAAGTAACAATACTACAGTGTGAAAATACGCTGTTACAAGTCAAAGTCCTGCATTGAAAAAGTATTATCATCAAAATGTACTTTAAGCACCATATATTTTTAAATGATTGTGTATTAATTATTGGTGCATTCATGTATTCCTCACTTTAATGTTGCACTTGCTAAAAGGGGGTTTGAGTGATCCCTCCTTGTTCTCCTGAGGTTTCTTCCCCGGTAACTGGGGGGTTTCTTTGGGAGTTTTTTCTTGTTCGATGCGAGGGTCTAAGGTTGTACTAATAACATGTGTCTGACTTGCATGATAAACATCAGTTGATAATCATAGATCAGATATCCAGCTGCAGTATATTAAGATATTACAATGAACTCCACTTGTATCAGCTGTGATGAACACATTAAGGTATCAAAATTATAATCTGTTTATTTAAAATATATCATTCTGAAATGTTCCATTACGCATAATGATTTATTTTACTTAAGATACTAATGATATGTATATGCCAATACTTTGATACTTTTAAATAATTGGAGTACTTCTATATATAATTATATAATTTTTTTCAGACATAAGGTAGGTAGCAGTTTTTTACCCTGCTGGCTCATTTAATGAGAGCAATTTGTATAAATGACTGTGAGCAACAACCAAACCAGCCCTGAGTGTAAGTGCAGTCATTTTAGTGACATGGTTTTCACCCTAATGTCCTGTCATGGCTACAGACACACACATCACATGTAGTATAAACTGTTCACCATAGACTGATGGGCTTTTAGAAAAAACGATTTGATGTTGTCGTTTCTTTTACCTCCTTGGAAAGTTCGAGCAGGATTTATAAAGCAGACGTTCAGCCAATACTGGCCTTTTTGATTTACCACGGTTTAACTTTTAATGAAAGACATGCTATACGTTTGGAGAAATGTTTCGTTTTTTGTGACTTTTTTCCCTATTATGTTGACCTATAGATTTCTTACCATCTGCCTTTTATCTGTAACATTCTTTTTGCAAATAACTGTATGAGCTGCTCTACCATCTGCATATTGTATAGCTCTGTGATTGGGTGAAACTCATTATCTCATTATCTATGTCACTGACAATATTTCTAATGCTATGGAATTAGAAGCACAAAATGAAAGTGTTCTGTCCAGTTAGCGTACAACCAATCAGCTGTCACATGATTCTTGCAGCAACTTGAGATTCATATTTAAGGTGTTGTACAACATTGAATTAACTTCAGTTCATTCAGAATGAATGAGATAGTTAACTTGTACCCTTTAAACCTGATAAGCAGGTGAAAAACGTTTCCTATGTCTGTGCACACAATAATGTGATAGTCAATAAGCATCTTAACTGCTCTTAAATCTAATATTAGTCAAACATAATCCAATCTCATGTTAATGCAATGAATTAGGCTGTATAAGGTTACACTGAAGAAAGTGAAACGTGGAGTTTAATTAAATGCATCATGTATAAGTGTATTAGGTTAGTTAAAAGCAATAGTATTAAGTTGAACCTATTATTTTGTATTCATAATTAATATTATTGCTTTCAACTAACCTAATGCAGTTATGGGAAATCAGTTGACACATCAAATGTAATTAAAGGCATTGTTTGAGTTTCTTCTGTGAGACATGTCACAGCTGGCCTTCAGGCTCAGTGTGTACCAGCAGCTGTACCTGTGGAGAGGCCAGCAGCAGGCTGAGGGTCCAGGCCCCCAGCAGCATGCGTCTGTTCCGCAGCCCGGCGTCCAGAGATTCCAGAGGGTGGAGGATGGCCCGGTACCGGTCCAGACTCACCACCACCAGGATGAAGGCTGCGGCCTGCATGGCGAACAGTTTGAGGAAACAAAGCAGCTTACACATGATGTTCCCAGCATACCACTGCACCGTTATATTCCAGACGGCGTCCAGCGGCATCACCACGAAGGTCATCACCAGGTCAGCTGAGGCCAGGCTGGCGATGAGCGGGCGGAGGTGTGCCGCCAGGCGGTAGCCCCGCCCCCAGCACACACTGATCAGCACCGACAGGTTACTGACAGCCGCGAACAGGAACAGCACCAGGGTGGCTGCCACCCGGCAGCGGGCGGCCACCGTGAAGGTGGGGGCTTCCCAGGGCAGAGGGGGGGGACCAGACGAGTTGAGGATGGAAAAGGTCTCCAGAGGGTCCGCAGGGGTGGAGTCCCACAGAGAAAGGTTTCCTTCCATCCTGTGACAGAGGAACAGAACAGGGACTTGTTGTTAAAATCACCTCTTTGTTTCACAGCTACACTGCTGGGTAATTAAACCAGCAATTATTTCAGTTAAATGACTGAACGATCTTTGGTCAATTGTGCTAAATTAGTTTGTATTCCATAGTGATGTCATCCTTATTTTTTGCATTGTTGTATTGTTGTTGTTTTTTTGTAGAGTTTCAGCTGAGTATGGAGCTCCAGCATTTAGAAAATGTTTTATAATTTCTTTCCCACAGTGCGTAAATCAGGATTTACAAGGATCAAAAACATAAAAAAGGCTTTGTTACATTGATTAGACTAAATGTAATCTGTGTAACCTACATGCCCACATTATAACACTTTATAATTATCCAGTGTTACGAGTCTCCAAAAGCTCAACTGGAGCCTTCAGCTACCATCTCCTCTTCTGAGGAACCAGCCCTCACTGAAACAACTGAAACGTTGACTTTAATGTATCATGTCAACAGATTTCACATAACTGTATTAGGTTAGATGAAAGCAATAATATTAAGTTGAGCCCTTTTTTGTTGTTGAACTTAATAGTATTGTTTCAACTAACCTAATACAGTTATGTGAAATCTGTTGACATAATACATTTAACTAAAGTCAATGTTTCAGGGTTTTTTCTGAGAGAAAAACAAAGAAAACACTTTTTTGTGCAGCCATGAGTTATAAAACCCGGTAATGAGTCAGCATTTTACCACTTCTGGTTCCCTCGTCTCAAAGTCAATGTTTTTTTGAGCATGTTTTTGGTTAGAAGCCTGAGAAAAATATATGTGGTGAACACGAGCTGAAGAGATTTTAACATTAAGTTCTACAACATAAAACACGTCAGTAAATACCCCACTGGTGAATGTCTGCAGCTGTTTTTGTGTCATAGAAACTTCATTTGCTAACAAGTATCTAAATGAGACTACTAAATGTTATCACGCTGAATATTAGCCACCTTTAGCTTAGCGGTGGCAGACATGCCTCCGTATTAAGTTTAGAGCAGTTAGCTATTTACTTCTGCGATAGCATACATCTCAATAATCATAAAAGTCGGGTTGATAATCCTGTTGATTATCCTGTTTGCCACAGATCTTAAAATGGGAGAAATCCCAAAGCTGTTTGTCGATAGAGCCCTTGTGATGCTAACTTCTGGGTCAGACTACAAAACCAAACACGCTATAAAATCAAAGTTTAAATCAAAACACAAAACAAGTTTGTCTCAGTGGGCTTTACAGATGAACACACAAGAATGACAGTGCTCAAAGATAAATACAATTCCAAGAAAATAATAAAAGACTAGATAGAATGCAAAATACAAATACAAAAATAAAATGAGATAGAAGACAACAAAAAGACAACACAAACAATCAAAACAATAAGATAAAATACCAAAATTGACTGGTGAGGACAAACATAGGGAAATCTTTATATGCTTTTTTCAGTCTAGTCTTCAACCAGGTTCTTCAGGCTAGTCTTCAACATGGTTCTTCAGGCTAGTCTTCAACCAGGTTCTTCAGGCTAGTCTTCAACCTGGTTCTTCAGGCTAGTCTTCAACCAGGTTCTTCATTGTCTTCAACCTGGTTCTTCAGGCTAGTCTTCAACCTGGTTCTTCAGGCTAGTCTTCAACCTGGTTCTTCAGGCTAGTCTTCAACCTGGTTCTTCAGGCTAGTCTTCAACCTGGTTCTTCAGGCTAGTCTTCAACCACAATCTATTTATGCTGCTATTTGCTGAGGCTGTCGGGGACTCTCACCTTTATCTTCTCTTCTCCTATGTTTCTCTATCTACAGTTGCAAGAAAAAGTATGTGAACCCTTTGGAATTACCTGGATTTCTGCATAAGTTGGTCATAAAATGTGTTCTGATCTGCACGTT